TTTTTTGAGACAGGGTCTTACTCTATTTCCCAGGCTGGAGTGCAGTAGCCCGATCTCAACTCACTGCAACCTCCATCTCTGGGGTTCAATCAATTCTTGTGCCTCATCTTACTGAGTAGCTGGGATTGCAGGCATGTGCCACCATACCTGGCTATTTTTTGTAGAGATGGGGTTTTGCCCTGTTGCCTAGGCTGGTCTTGAACTCTGAACTCCTGAGCTGAAGTAATCCACCCACCTTGGTCCCACAAAGTGCTAGGATTACAGGCTTGAGCCACCGCGCCCGGCCTATTTTTTTTTTTAATTAGCCAGGTGTGGTGATGCCTGCATGTAGTCCCAGCTACTTGGGAAGCTGACACAGGAGGATTGCTTGAGCCTGGGAGTTTGAGGCAGCAGTGAGCTGCTGATCATGCCAGTGCAGTCCAGCCTGGATGACAGAGTGAGACCCTGACCCAAAAAAAGTGCTCCTATGCAAATATGAGGTGTGTGTTTTTATTTGCTGAATATACACCTTTCAATACATCTGCTCTTCTTTGGAAGGAGGGGCATGTCTCCAAAGCCCTTCCCTGTCACAGATTCTAGCTGGGCAATGACCAAGATTGAGAGTTCAGGGGAGATAATACCACTTAGGGACAGTCTGTCATTGGTGTGCTAGGGTACAGTTCCAGCCTGAGGCTCTTGTTTCTTGTTGGTTGACTCACGCTCACTCTCATGTTGATTTCTCACTCCAGCCAGTGTCATGACTACTCCAATTGTCACGACTGTTTCAACTGTTAGAATGAGCACTACTGTTCCAACGGCCACGAGTGTTCCAACGACAATGACAGTGTCTGCCTTTGCTCCTCCAATGCCATTGCCCACGCAAAACCATGAACCAGGTAAAACAGATGTGTTTGGGAGCCCAGAGGCCTTCTAATGAGGAGCTGCAGCCCATCCAGGGCACTGCATCAAGGCAGAAGGACAGTCTAGAGTGAGGGGTGTACCTAGGTTTCATTCAGGGTCTTCTCAGGGTTTGTGATCCTCCTCAGCTCCCAAGTTATAAGCATCTTTTGTACCACTAAGCTTTTTTGGAGAGAGGGGACCCACAGCTTTGTTGTTGTTGTTGTTGTTGGTAGAAAATGATTTATTTAGAGAGAGAGAGAGAGAAACAGGAGGAGGAAGAGAAAGAAACAGCTAACTCTCACACTGAGTGAGAGAATCCAGAAAGATAGAATCCAGGAGAGGAAAGCAGCTTCCACCCTGATTGGAAGGGAATAGAGAGAGATGGAGTTTGGGAGGAGAAGACAGGTTTCCACAAGAGAGTGTGGAAGGGGAGCTTTTTATCAGATTCTCAAAGAAATTGATTATTAACCAAAAATAGCTGGACCACTGATGTAGGACATTAATGGGATAGTGTGGATCTGACTCACTTAGGTATGATGAAAACATAGGGAATGCCAGAGAACCAGGGTCAGATAATGAGATTCTGTCTTCATGAAGAGCTCTGAAGAGAGCACTTAGTCCATTCTGAAGGCAGACTTTGATTTTGAAGAAGCTAACATTTACTGTTTTCCATGTACTAGACATCATGCTTTATGCATTTAATTCTTAGGTTAATTATATCTACTGTAGTGTGATTTATAGTTGTGAGAACTGAGACAGAGTCTAAAAGTTCATTGTTGGCAGTTATGCAGATAGAGGCTAGGTGCAATGGCTCAGGCCTATAACTCTAGCCCAGGAGTTCAAAACCAGCCTGGGCAACATAGTGGGACCTTGTCTCTACATGGTGGTGCATGCCTCTAGTCCCAGCTACTTGGGAAGCTGAAGCGGAGGAGTCACTTGGGGCTGGGAGGTCAAGGCTACAGTGAGCCATGATGGCACCACTGCACTCTAGCTTGGGTAACAGAGTGAAAAAGAAAGAAAAGAGAAAGAATAAAGAAATTTACACAGATAGAAAGTGGTTGAGTCAGGTTTTGGTCATTGTTCTCTTGAATTGTAAAGGGAACCTTATGAAATTAAAAACAGTTTTCAAGTCTATCTCCTTTTTCTCCTAAAAAAACAAAAAAAAACAAAACAAAACAGCTCAAACAAAAGCTTGATTTATACTTTTCACAGAGACATTTCCTTAGGTCGGTAAAGCTGAATCCTTGGGGCACCATAATGGTGCTTTCAGGCAGGACGATGAACCTGCCCCTTTAAAATCACTTGCGTTTAGCAAGAGAAAAGGGCAGCATCAACGCAGGCTTTAGCCCTGATCAAAGCTGCTAAAGGTCACCCGCGCAGAGTCTGGTGAGGCCGGCAGAATCAGCTCCTGGAGGACAATTCACAGCATTTTGCAGAGCCCGAGAGTCACAGGCAGGCTCGGCGGCTTTTCAGGCTTTGGGTGTCTGTACATTTTCCCTGAAACCCCAGGGCTGCTCATCTTTTTGTTGAGCTTCACAAATGGAGGTTTTGGAGAGAATATCAAAGTTCAAAGTTTTCTAGCTCTGATGAAACTAGGTTAAGAAATGACTGAAACGAATAAAATATAATTTCATACATGGTGATTGCCAGGACAAATTGTGGTGTAAAAGTCTTAGCTCATGCAGGAGATTCTCTAAAACAAAGCCCCTAATGGGACCCCCTGGGGAGGGAAGGCACTGGGGCCTCCAGGTCTGCTGCAGGCCCAGGCTCCGCCTCTTCTCGTGACTCCCTCTGTGTCATCACAGGAGGGATCTCCTTGGGAAAGCGAGGCCTCCGCCCGCCACACTTACTGGAGTGGTGCTGAGGGGCTACCAGCTCCCTGGGCCTGTCCTGCAGGGACACTGAAACTAAGGCACGTGGTCCTAGGCAGGCCTCATCCTTCCTTTGCCCACTAGCCTTCCTCACCCTCACCCTTTGGGCACAGAAGAGCCACTCCCTTTGTGGGTTTTCTTGCTGTCCTGTGGACCCTGTCCTTCCCCAACTCCACCCTGGAGACCTAAGGACTCCGCACGGCAAAGCCCTTGGCCTGACACTTCGCATGTGAGACAGCCCTCTATGCCACACTCGTTACAGGGTCTCAAGATGCACTTGTCCATCTCCTGACAGCCTCTGGTCTCAACACCACGCCTCTGCACTCAGCCTCTGTTTACAGAAAAGTGTCAGTGAGGGGTTTCTAACTGCAGAATAAGAACGGAATCTCAAGTCCACACAGAGCAGCAGAAATTTGGGGGTGGAGATGGGCTTTTGGCTGGGCGTGGTGGCTCACGCCTGTAATCCCAGCACTTTGGGAGGCTGAGGTGGGCTGATCACAAGGTCAAGAGATCGGGACCATCCTGGCCAACATGGTGAAACCCTGTCTCTACTAAAAATACAAAAATTAGCTGAGCATGGTGGTACACGCCTGTAGTCCCAGCTACTGGGGAGGCTGAGGCAGGAGAATCACTTGAATCCGGGAGGTGGAGGTTGCAGTGAGCCGAGATCACACCACTGCAAGAGCAGGGATGAGGCCTCATATGAGGGTGTGGCATCCTGCAGTGCCAGGGACTTCTTCACTGAGTGGTTTTGGCCTTTAACAAAGTAGAAAAGGAAATAATAACAAAGTTTTACTTAACAAATGAACAAACGAGAGAAATGCTGGCCCAAAGGAGGAAGCTGCCTTGGTCCCAATGGAGCTGAGCAGAAAGACAGACAGCAAGGACCTCTACAGTCCCAGGGACAAGGAGCAAGCTGGGCCAAGGGAGGCCCTGTCAGGAGCCTTCCTGGCATAAGGCGATGCTTAGTTCAAGGCAGCTCCAGATGGGACACTCCTCCTTTCTGTCCCAACACAGCCCAGGCTTCCTGGAGGCGGCTACTCTTTGGCTTAGACCTCAGCAGAGCAGCTGCCCTCGTGCCATAATCCAAATGAATGAAATTACCAGGAGGAGCTTCGAGGAAGGGTGGCAAGGAGGTGTCCCTGTGTGTGGCTGAAGCCGATCTCCTCTTAGCAGAAGCTGTTGTGGTGGTTCTTTTACTGGTAGCACTAGAAAAAAGAAAACTCCAACTGATTCTGACTTTAGAGAATTCAGACCTCTGAGGTTTACGGCAGGGCTCAGTAATTTGCCTAAAGGCAAGTATTCCAATAAAAGCAAAGACACGGCCAGCCCTGAGCCCCGAGGCCAGCCCTGTACCCCAGATGCGCCCAGGATCCTGACATGTCTGGTTGTGAAGAGCCTCAGACACGTATGTCCCCTGTCCATCTCCTTAGGGCCCATATTGACGTCAGGCCAGTTCGGTTTTATAAAGGGCCTCAGACAGCTCCCTTCCCTGTCTCCTGTCTGGGTCAGGCAGCTGCCATTTCCAGGTGATGTGGACACAGGTTGCATGGCCCTCCACGTCCTGGCTGGGGCTCCCTGCCCAGGAATGGGTCCCTGACTCAGCTGAATCCATAGCATGTTCCAGGTCACATGGGGTCAGGACCATGAGATGCAGATGCAGCCTTGTAGGGGGAAACTGCCCACTTGAAAGTGCTGGTTGGTTGTGTGGCTCTGCCACGGAGGCTTAGAACCAGAGTGTCCATGGTAAGAGGGGCATGAGCCCCACACGAGGTGACGCAGAGGGGGGGTGAGGGAGCGGGGCTGTCTTTTCCCCTTACTGAACTCCCCCTCTGCCCAGGTTCACTTCAAGGGGTTTTCTGCCACCAAGAGAGTCCTAGTGAATCTGCCAAGGAGGCCAGTAGGAAGGCTGCCATCTAGACCCTGCACAAGTCGCCTATCATATGCCATGTCCAACAATGAGATCACATCACAGTTTTCTTTACAAAGGGATGACTTATCAGCACAGCTGAAAGCCACACCACAGATGGATGGTGACCTGAGCTCTGTGGTGTCTGAAGCTCCTCGGCTGGTCTCCTCCCAGTAGGGAAGAAGGGACTCTGGAAAAGCCTCTCCCTGAGGATCAGAACTTCCAGTCCACTCCATGTCTGTGGTGCGGCAGGGAGTCCTCAGGACATGAGGCCTTTACTCTGGCCCCAAACTGAGGTCCTGCTGGCAGGCGGCAGGCGCTGCTCCAGTTCCTGTGACGGGTCCTGTGCCCAGTGCTCCAGGCCCACTGCAGCAGGCAGTGTCCCGTGCGGCGTCTGTGTCCCGCGTCCCTGTGACCCCAACTCACCTGTGGCTGGCCCGGGCCAGGTGTGCCCGAAGAGCAGACTGGATGATGACAATGGCTTCCTCCTGTGCAGAGCTGCCATCGGCCGGGGCAATGGGGCTTGCAACATGGGGCACGGGAGAGCTCTGTGGTGCAAGGACAGCAGGGAAGATGACCAGGTGGCAGCCCCCTACCGGCTCCCAGAACTCAGCCCCCAGTGCACCCTGGGTGTCAGGGAGACATGAAGAGCTCAGTTTCCCCTTCAGGTGGCCCTGCCCCCTGGGAATTGCTAGTCAGTGACAAACCTCCTGGCAGCAGGTTCTGAAGTTTTAAACTGTAGAGATTCTGAAACAAACACTTGTCCTCCTTAAAGACGAGGGGCCAGCATGGCCTGCGCCTGGCTTTAGTAGTTTTTAGCTACATCTTTATGGAACTGCTTGACTCTCGGGCAGCTCAAGGCAATCTGGCCCTAAAGCCACACCCATCCAGGGCCTGTGAAGAGGGGCCTGTATGGCCCTCGTGGCCAGGGATGGAGCGTGGGGGACGCCTGCTGGACAAGCGGGGATGTGGAGGCTGGGCGGTGCCCTGCGCTTTCTCAGTGGTTGGAGTGTGAGAGAGGCAGCTCTGGAGACAGCCGCTGGGACGGCCTGCGCCCACCCGATGTTACCTGGTCTGGGAGGCCTGGCACACTGGGCGCCTCTGAGCCATGTGCTTTGCTTGCTAAGAGCTTTGTCCGCACCAGATGTCCCCTGAAAGCTGCCTGAAGCACCACAGCCGCCTGTCAGGGAAGGAAGGAGAGAAAAGCAGGTGTGAGTGCCCAGGGCAATGGTGGGTGAGAGGGAGACGCAGAGGGAAGAGCTATGTAGCAGCAGGGAATGCGGTGGCCCTCACTGCAGCGTAGCCACAGTCTCCCAAAGAGTTGTCCTCACTCCCACTCACCCCAGTCCGTGGGAAACTAACCAGCACCCCAGGGAGCATAGGCACCAGCACCTGATACCACGTGAGCAGACTCTGGAAATGGGAAGGAGCCTGCTGCTCAGTGCAGTCCCTTCCAGCTGCTAATAGGAGCTAGTATTTCATACACAGTTACATTTTCATGTGGCAGAGTTTATTCTGGGTTGGAATAGTGTATTGGTTTCATCTAGTTTCCATATATATCTTCTAAGTCAAGCAGGGGGCAAGAAGATCTCTAAAATGATCTTAAGAGAATTATTTATCCTTTGAGCTTAACCTTAAGTGATTTTCTCAAGAAATGTGGTTGGGTGCAGAGGTTCATGCCTATAATCCCAGCACTTTAGGAGGCTTAAGGCCAGGAAATTCAGACCAGCCTGGGCAACACAGCAAGACCTTGTCTGTACAAAATATTAGCTGGGTGTGGCACACACCTGTCATCCAGTGTTTTGGGAGGCTGAGGTGGGAGGATCCATTGAGCTCAGGAGTTCGAGACCAGCCTGGCCAATATGGTAAAACCCCATCTCTATTAAAAATACAAAAATTAGCCAGGCATGGTGGTACACACCTGTAGTCCCAGCTATTCAGAAGGCTGAGGCATGAGAATCGCTTGAATCTGGGAGGCAGAGGTTGCAGTGAGCCGAGATTGCACCACTGCACTCCAGCCTGGGTGACAGAGTGAGACTCTATCTCAAAAAAAAAAAAAAAGTTAAATTAAAAAATAAATAATATACAGGTAAGCTCTGTGAGGTCTGAAGTCCATGCTCCATTTTTGGAGAAGCACTTATTTTTGAATGATCTGCCTCTAGCCCTGTGAACCCTCCCAGCTCTCAAACACATTAGAATGATGAGCATGCCCATCGAGCCCCATACCACGTGAGTTTAGTGGGCCTGCCGCTGTTGGAAGAGAAAGCACCTCTGTTTTGTCTTAAACAAGGGGAAAAATATGGGAGTGGGAAACGAGCTCAGTAGAGGGCAAAGCAGCACTGGCTATTAAGGATGAACAACCCACCAGAGTGTGGTGATCACATGGAGGCTTCCCAGAAGCTTCTGGTAAAGCGGCTGCCAGATGCTGGGGCTCTGTGCCAGCTGGAGGGGTGAGAGGGGCATGCATATCCATCATGCCACACACTACGTATACACTGGTAAACCCCACATAGGTGACCTCACTGCTGTCTTAGAGATGAGGACCCTGAGGCATGGGGGACGCTGGGGAGAGAAGCAGGATGGGGAGATGGCACCTGCCACTGACTGGCACATCTGCCGAGGAGTCCCAGGTCCCTTTGCTCACTGGAGGGCATTTACTGAATGCCTCCCAGATGCCAGGCGCTAGTCTAGGCACCAGAGGTATGGTGGCAAAGACAGAGCTTGCCTTCCGATGGGAGGCCGGCAAGAATAACCATAAAGTGAGACAACAGGCAGGGGTGCTTGCGAGGAACCGTGGCCAGCTGCGGGGGCTGGGTGCCTGCAGAGGGCCCTTCCTCAGGGGCAGCATGGTGGGCCAGGTGGGCAGTCCGGCTACCTGCTCACAGAGGGTGCTCACGTGGCTGTGGCCTCACCATCAGATGCCAACATTCTCCACTACAGCTGCACGCAGGCCACCGAACCTGGTTCGCCGCCTGCACTCTCGACCATGCTGGCTGTCCTGACTGGAGAGTGTCTGGCTGGTCTGTTACAAGCTCCTCTGGTGCCCAGCACATGGCACGAGCCCAGCAAATACTTGTGGATGAGGAATGTGGCCAAGGGGAAGGGACAGTGGATAGGGGAAGGGAAGGCAACCCCCGCCCTGATGGCACAGCTGTCAACCCTGTTGGCATCAGACATACTCAGGGATGGTGAGGACAAGCAGATGCTGGGTCTGCCCTGTGACTGAGAAGTGGCTCTGGGCGAGTGAGAAGGCAGCGGCCCGGCACCCACTCTGAGTGACTGGGGCTGAAGCCTCTCCTACGTCTAAGTGAAAATACACTGCTGTCCCTGAAGGGGCCCTAGAGGAGAGGGGAGCATCTTAGAGGCCACCAGGACTACAGCAAAATAAAGCTCTCATTTTCTAGCTCCTCCCTGAAAAGGCTTATGTCTTAGAACTGAACTGTTCATCACTCTGTCAGTTCTCAGCCATGGGTGGCACTCAACCTCCATTCCAGTTCCACTCCTTTGCCCATCGAGCAGACTCCTCGTCCCACCGGCTCTGCTGGGACACCCTCCTCTCCCTTCCCCGTCCAGTGAGCTCTGACGAGTCCTGAGAGGCCTGCCTTGCATGTCACCCCTTGCAGGGACTTCCTGGCCTTTGTATGCAGGGCCAGCCACCCTGGGCTGTAACTTGTTCACGTGTGTATCTGAGCCTCTGCATCCCAGGACCTCTGAGACTGCCCCATGCAGAGCTGGTGATCACTGAATGTGCATGGAAAGAATGAATGCATGGAATGAATAAATGAAGAGGTTTTGAAAGTACGAAATTATCCAAATATTTATTTGATGTTTCTATTGCTTATGTATTTTATACTTAATGTTGAGGTCTGGTTTGGTTTCATGAAAATAGGGACTCGCCAGGCGCTTTGGCTCATGCCTGTAATTCCAGCACTTTGGGAGGCCAAGACGGGTGGATCACCTGAGGTCAGGAGTTCAGAGACCAGCCTGGCCAACGTGGCGAAACCTCGTCTCTACTAAAAATACAAAAATTAGCCAGGCGCGGTGGTGCACGCCTGTAGTCCCAGGTACTCGGGAGGCTGAGGCAGGAGAATCACTTGAACCTGGGGGGCAGAGGTTGCAGTGAGCCAAGATTGTGCCACTTCACTCCAGCCTGGGCCACAGAGTGAGATTCTGTCTCAAAAAAAAAAAAGGACTCGACGCATCCTTAAACATCCCCTTACCTACTTTATAACAAAGTACAAATCCATTTTTTGAAAATAATGAAATAAACCTTGCTTACCTCATCCAGAACAGCCTTTTTTTTCTGAAATAAGGAAAAAAAATATGAATTACCATGAGATGAATGTTTTCCCACACAGGGTTTCCTTCCTTGATCCTGCCAACAGGTGTTGATCAAGCCAACAAGAGGCCTGGGCACCCTGGCTCCTCCCTCCCCTGCTACCTTTGTAAGGAGGCTCAAAGTGAGAAAGCCCTCTCACGGTGTCCAGACTGCTGTCCTCTCTGGATAAGCCCCAGAACTCAGAGGCTGAGGCTGCCTGATAGGGATGTGACGAAGGGGACTTTGGTTCTGGGGTCTGGATCACTGGCCCCAACCTGACTGGTCATCAGAGTCACTCTAGGGTATCTTGGGAAGTTTCTCAGGCTGCAGCTGACACACACCATATCACAGTCAGGAGAGAGAATCCCTCGGAGCACGTGTTCTTATAGATGTTTTCCATAGTAATCAGAGTGCACAGCCCACGTCTGTACTACTGTACAAAGGATCTGTCCCTTGGGAAATTAAGGAGGAACTGAGTACAAGGACCAACAGAATATAAAATGGAAGCAAAGAAATATTCACTGAATAAGGCTGGGCGAGGTGGCTTACGCCTATATTCCCAGCACTTTAGGAGGCTGAGGCAGGTGAATCACGAAGTCAGGAGTTCAAGACCAGCCTGACTAACATGGTGAAACCTCATCTCTACTAAAAATACAAACTTAGCTGGGCATGGTGGCACATGGCTCTAACCTCAGCTACCCAGGAGGCTGAGGCAGAAGAATCACTTGAACCCGGGAGGCAGAGGTTGCAGTGAGCCAGGATCACATCATTGCACTCCTGCCTGGGCCACAGAGCGAGACTCTGTCTCAAAAAAGAAAAAAAAGAAAAAGAAATACACACTGAATAAAAGTGGCGGTACAGAGTGCAGCAAAGAGAGTCTCAATGAGAGGGACAGACAGTGGCCAGGCTGGGGGGTCGGGGGCACTGGAGAATGCACAAAGTCCAAATATCAAGCATGAAGAAGGTGACAGTTGAAGGGAAATGGGGTGGGACTCAAGAACGCCAGAGACACAGCAACGACATTGCTTACAGAAACGGAGCCTGAGTCAGAGCGTGCGAGACTGAGCTTACGGAGGCAGCGACGGCAAAGGTGGCTCCAGGGCGCTGAGGGCAACCCGGCCTAGTGGGGTGTAGCCCAGGAGCAGACGGCGCCCTGGGAGGGTTGCTGCCCCACCCCCTCAGTGCCCAACCTGCGCTGCACAAATGGGGTGGAGGGTGGGGGCGAGCCTTGCTGTGGCACCTGGCACATATCTTTTTATCTTTGCCTGAGGTTTATCTTTATAATTATGCAAGGGGAAGAGGAAGTGCACAAATGGCCAGTTGCTTCTAAAAACCCAATGGCTCGAAAATGGTGAAACAGGTCTGGGGAAAGGAAAGCACAGTGAGGCCGCACCTTCCTGTGCCAAAAACTGAGGACGCATGCATCGGACAGCAGCCAGTAGCAGACCCGAGGGGCCCGGCGGCCAGGTTCTCATGATCTGAGCATTACAACCAGTAACAACTGCAGGTCATTCTAAAAGACTGAATGTGGCCTGGTATGGTGGCTCATGCCTGTAATCCCAGCACTTTGGGAGGCCAAGGAAGGTGGATCACCTGAGGTCAGGAGTTCAAGACCAGCCTGGCCAACATGGTGAAACCCCATCTCTACTAAAAATACAAAAATTAGCTGGGCATGGTGGCACATGCCTGTAATCCCGGCTACTTGGGAGGCTGAGGCAGGAGAATCACTTCTTGAACCCAGGAGGCAGAGGTTGCAGTGAGCTTGGATCACTCCGCACGGCACTCCAGCCTGGGCAATAAGAGGCAAACTCCATCTCAAAAAAAAAAAAAAAAAAAAAAAAGAAAAGAAAAGAAAAGAAAGAAAGAAAGAAATCTAGGTGCGGTGGTTTACACCTGTAATCCCAGTGCTCTGGGAGGCTGAGGCAGGTGAATGGCTTTAGCTCAGAAGTTCGAGACCAGCCTGAGCAACAAAGCAAGACCAGTCTCTACAAAAATTGTCACGGTGTGGTGGTGCCTGCCTATAGTCCCGGCTACTTGGGGGAGGCTGGAGGACTGCTTGAGCCGGAGAGGTCGAGGCTGCAGTGAGCTGTGATGGTGCCACTGTACTCCAGTCTGACTGATGGAGTGAGACTTTGTCTCTATGAAAAAAGGAAAAAAAAAGGCTGGGTGTGGTGGCTCATGCTTGTAATCCTAGTGCTTTGGGAAGCCAAGGTGGGTGGATCACTTGAGGCCAGGAGTTCGAGACCAAGTGACATGGCGAAACCATGTCTCTACTAAAAATACAAAAATTAGCTGGTTGTGGTGGTGGGCACGTGTAATCACAACTGCTTGGGAGGCTAAGGCAGGAGAATTGCTAGAACCTGGGAGGTGGAGCTTACAGTGACCCGAGATCACACCAATACACTCCAGCCTGGGCAACAGAGCAAGACTCTATCTCAAAAAAACAAACAAACAAAAATCAGCCAGGATGAACTGTTGGTTAAAAAAAAGAAAGGAGATGTAACCAATCAACCCCCAGGCTCTGACGGGACGTGGGTCGAAAACTGCTGTGACCGGCTGCTGGCAGGAAATAGGCATCTTGGGCATTTGGAGAACGTGAATAGGAAGGGCCGTTAGGTGAGGATATGAAACTGCTGTGACCATCCTAGGTGCAATCACAGTGCCGTGGTCAGGTAAGAGAAGATGCTTTTTCTTAGAAGACACATGCTGATGTTTTGTAAAGTCTAAAACTTACTTTCGAATAGTTCTGGAAGAAAGCTATATGAAAAGCAATCTGGCTCTGAGATGTTCACTACTGAACAAAATGCACCCAGAACGAATGAGTCAGTGTGTGAATGAGGTTTTTTATTTCAGCATGTTATGGTGCTTGGACACCTGGGGCCCCGCTGGCCCTCCAGGCCTTGTCATTCCTAGAGAGAGAGTGGCTTGCCTTGGAGCATGAAGACTCAGAGGGAGCAGCCCAGGTCACCTCGGGGAGCCTCACCTTGTGCTTGTACATCTTCCACTGGGCCTGCAGGACCCTGGCGGCAGCATCTCTTCTCCCATCAGAGCACGGGGAGCGGGGCGGTAGGAGCCCCTCCTTACTGGAATCCAGCGGCCAGTCTTGCTCCAAGCGCCCCGGGCTGGGAGTGGGAGCTGGGAGCTCTCGAGCCTGCAGGAAATTGAGGGAGTAAGAGGATGATAAAGCCAGGGCAGGGACGATCAGTATCGGGCAGGGGGACAGGATATTAATCGGCACAGTGAGGCCGGGCTTATCAGTTGAGACTTATTAATGTCGGGGAGAGATCTGTTCCACACACCCACGCGCCACACAACGGCGGTCTCATACTGCCAAGAAACAGCGTCTCGACTAGCAGAGCGTCTCGGCGAGCACACAGGTGCAGGCGTGCTTCTCCTTTAACTCCCTCAACTCCGTCTGGCCGCAGAGTCCCGGGAGGGAGAGAGGATGCTTCTTCACACGGCCGCCACACACTCACTACACCCAGTCGCATTTTGTTCCTGCAAGAACTGTTTTTCTGGGGTTCCTTTTTTTTTTTCTAGTTCAACACTCTACATTATAAAAATGGGATTTCTGGGATTAAAGGCAATATATTTCTAGCATGGTTTTTAAGGTAGAAGGAAGCCAAGATTGTTGTAATGACCACTGAAATAACCATAATTTCAGGCTGGGTGCAGTGGCTCAAGCCTGTAATCCCAGCAGTCTGGGAGGCCAAGTGATCTGGAGGATCCCTGCAATCCCTCCAATCTGGAGGATCACTTGAGGCCAGGAGTTCAAGACCAGCCTGGCCAATACAGAGACCCCATCTCTGTGAAAAAATTTAAGAAATACCCGGGTGTGGTGGTGCGCCTCTGTGGTCTCAGCTACTCAGGAGGCTGAGGCAGGAGGATCGCTTGAACCCAGGGGTCAAGGCTACAGTGAGCCATGATTGTGCCACTGTAGTCTAGCCTGGGAAACAGTGCAAGACCCTGTCTCTAAAAAAAAAAAAAGAAAGAAAAATTAGGATTTCTAACACTGATGGCTCCAAATGTATCATCCACAGGACACTATGCAATACAGATGAAAAGGACTCTCATGTCAAGCATGCAAGCTTAGTGCAGAGCACACTGCTGTAGAAAGCCCTCCCCAGAGGCAGACACAAGACTGCTGCAAGTGCGTACTGGGCCAGGGGCCGGGCGCAGGTGGCCTGCCACAGACTTGAACAAACACAGAACGATTGGTCTGGCTTTACGTTTTCTGTGTGTTCCAATGCTTGGGCATCTGCATCCTTGCTGCCCCTCTGGGCCTGGCCAATTCCTAAACGGTGAAGGGTTTGCCTTCGGACACAACCTTCCTATGCAAGCAGCCAATCCTGTGCCCACACTCAGAACCACCTTCTGCATTGGGCCCCATACTCCAGGACCCAATACTCCTCAGCCTTAATCACCCAGGGCCTAGCGCAGGACAGCTCAGGACCACCTGGTGGCCCAGGTCCTGTTAAATTTTTCAACAGGAAGAGAGAGATCCAAGAGAGATTTTCAAGAGAGAGATCCAAGATGGCTGATCACTAGCAGCTCGGGATTGTAGCTCCCAATGAAAGTGCAGAGAACGAGAGAATGCCACACTTTCAGACAAATTTTTGTTGCTCACACACCAAGAGATTCCCAGCGGAGGCGCCCCACGGGTCACCAGCGCGACTCTTGTGGCCAGAGAGGTGGTTTTGCCACTACCTTGGTGCAGCGGTTCTTGGTGCAGAGTCAGAAAAGCACCATCTATCTTAACGCCGCTGTTTTGGCTGGCGCAGTGGGTTGCTCAGATTTTAGCACTGGGAATCAACAAGTTGGACGTCCACTCAGAAACCCAATTATAAAGACGGTAATTATAAAGACCACAGATGGATAAATCTATAAGAAGGGAAGAAACCAGCCTAAAAAGGCTGAGAATACCCAAAATCAGAATGCCTCTCCCTCTACAGGGGATCACAGTTACTCATCAGCAATGGAACAAGGCCTGATGGAGAACGAGTGTGTTCCATTAAAAGAAGCAGCCTTCAAAAGGTGGATGATAAGAAATTTCTGTGAATTAAAAGAACTTGTTCTAACCCAATGCAAAGAAACTAAGAACTTTGAAAAAAGGTTCGACGAAATGTTAACAAGAATACACAATTTAGAGAAGAATATAAGTGAATTAACGGAGCTGAAAAACACAACGCTAGAACTTCACGAAGTATGCACAAGTTTTAACAGCCGAATTGATCA